TCACTTCTAAAAATTTCCTTCTCTACCTGTACTATTTCCCCACCGCCCAAAACTATATAACCAGCGTTTTTGTAAGACAAAATAGTGGGACTAGGGGTATATGAGTGGGCCTACGTAAACAACTTTTGCCGTGTTCCAAACTGAAATTCTTCCAGGAAAACTTTGATAACTCAGTCCGCTCAGCTTCCAAATTCCTGGCGGACCTCCATGGCCGAAGGATCCAATCAGAAGAAATGATGGTTTTTCTTTGACATGACATCATTATCCACATCCATTCCACCGGGTTTGGCATGAGACGTCTTGCACAGGAAGCTCGAGGAGCTGTATGACGAAACGCAGAGTTCGCACAAAATTGAAAACCTCATGAGGCTGTTTGAATTTTGCCAAAGAGACATATATCACCTTTGCTTGAGCGACTTATGTACAGATCAAAGTAACTCCTGTGGGCTCCCCAATCTCCGGTTAAATACCAGAATTGGTCCTACAAAAACTGGAAAAGATTGCCTTCAACTAACAGTCCCCGATGTTTTGGCGCCGTTACGTTGACGCCAGCTATGTCATCGTCAAAAGGAACGTGCTACAGAATTTTCGTCTCATGAACATCAAAACCGACAGTCGACTGTCCGGGGGCACAATGAGCCAATCAGTACGTGCGTACGAAGCAGAAGCCAGCAAACCTAGGGGGAATTTTAGTTTCCAAGGCGATCAAAAACAGCTTGTTGGCAAGGTGGTGGGTGACATTTTGGATAAAATTGCCCTTATCGCACCAGTAATTGCTACCAGTGCTCCCGAATCGGTCATAGCGGAACACATTGTTGCATTAAATCCCTCAGTCCAGGAAAGGGGTGTAAATCCATAACCCAAAGCGAATTACAGGTCCTCAGTTGCGAAGGTGGGAATTGTAGACTGATAAAAAAAGTCACAGCTCTATTTGAGGGCAGTTGAGACAGCCAAGATTTGCTAGCAAAACACCGTCATCATTCAACGGCGAATACCGAAGATGCTTAGTCGTCAAGCTTGACGCCCATCTGAACAAGGTAGGAAATAGATAACGCCAGATATGCTGTTATATGTGCAGTAGTCGCCAAGTGCCATGCAACGTT